TTTATTGAAGAGGTGTGTGCTCTGGAAGAGTGTGTAAATATAACTAATTGAAATCTTTTTTCCTTGTGACCAGAGTTTCTATCGAAGAGTTTTTATGACAGGATTTTTAATGAATCTTCTATAGAGTATTCAAAGAATAATGAACTTTTTTCTTTACTAAGATTTTTTTTACTGGATTTTTCTAGCAAGGTTTTTAACGAAATGTATTTTTGGTATAATGAATGTCTATAATCTATACAAAATTTACCCTTGACATAATACACTCGTATGTTACACATTGTACACAGACTTTTTAAGAGAGTAACAAAAAGTTTTGTTTCTCACCCAACCACCTTGCCAACTACAACCGCCAATGATTAATAGGATGAAGATGGTAAAACTTGAAGGCTATAAAAGACAATATTAAATATATTTCATCAAAATTGTGACATTAAAATCAATGGCGAACAAGATATTGATCGCTAGATATGATTTCATTATTGAAAATCAGGGAGAGTTGTTGTATTCTTTTTCCTTCGCTCAAATTTTAAGTCATTAAGTTCCTTGAAAAAGTTTTAACGAGGTAGTATTTGATTATTCCAAATTCCTTGCACTTATTTATCTTTCGTTTGGTATTTTTGAGTTTGTTAAATTTTTAACAAGACAGTTGTTAAGTAAATTTTCTTACAAGAGGAGCATTGTAAATTGATTGCCATATGACCATAATACTATTGTAGTCCTAATGTGTGTGTGTGTATATATGTGTGTGTGTGTGTGTGTGAGTTTTTAGTTCTCCAGAAAATCTACAATATATTAAAAGTGGGGATGGTGAAGAAACTTTTAAATACTAAATTTATCCCTACATATTTAATTATATGCTCACTATACCCGCATAATTGGAATACCATTCAATTGACCATTTTGTTCTAATAATTTTTTTCCACCAACGAATCAATTTTCATTTTTCATCAACAAAATCCTTATTAATCTTCATCATTTACATTAAAATTCATTCAATAAGTTTTTATTTTTCATTAATAGAGCAATTTTTAATCTTCACGCTTTACATTATAATTCATCTATTAAGTTATTATTTAATTGAGGTTACAAATATTTTTAGGGTTGCATTAATATATTAATGAGGACATTCAATGAATAAAAAAAAAATTACACCCGAAAATTCAATGAATAACATTCAATTGATTTTTTTCTTTACAATTTTTAATTTTCATCAACAAAGCCCTTATTACCAATTTAATTAATATTTACCATTTGATTTAGAATTAATATAAGTAGTGAAATATTTAATTGATATTTATCACTTGCATTGGAATTAATATAAGGAGTGAAAATGACATTCAATTATTAAAAAAATAAATAAATCAAAGAAAATTTAGTGACTTATCATTCAATTGGGTGGGTATTTTGTTCTTCCAATTTTTATTTCCTATCAACAAAGTAATTTTTATTTTTCATCAACAAAGCCCTTATTAATCTTCATGATTTACATTATAATTCACCCATTGAGTTTTTTTTTCATTAACAAAGCAATTTTTATTTTCCATCAACAAATCTTCATTAATTTTCATGATTTACATTATAATCCATCCATTAGGTTATTATTTAATTGAGGTTACAAATTGAAAGGTTGCATTAATGTATTAATGAGATAACAAATGTGTTAAATGTTACATTAACATATTAATTGAGACATTTGATTACTAAAAAAATAATAATAATAAAATAAATTACACACCAAAATTCAATGACTTATCTTTCAATTGATTAATTTTTCCTCTACATTTTTTATTTTCATCAACAAAGCCCTTATTAATCTTCATAATTTACATTATAATTTATGCATTAAGTTATTAGTTAATTGAGGTTGCAAAATTGAAAGGTTGCATTAATATATTAATGAAGTTACAAATATGTTAAAGTAAATGACTTCTAATTATTAGAGTTTTTAAGATTGGCAATAATCATTTCTACTTCCAATCACTTTTACCCTATGTATGAATCATTGGGAAACATTCAATTGTTTATTTTATTCTGAAATTTTTTATTTTTAATCAACAAAGTTCTTATTAATCTTCATAATTTACATTATAGTTCCTGCATTAAGTTATAATTCAATTAATATATATCATTTGGTTTGGAATTAATATAAAAAGTTAACTAACATTCCTTTTTTGAGCCATATTATTTTCAAAAAAATACATTCTTTAATAGTGATTTGACATCATTTCAATCACACATTTTTCAATAAAATAATATTACACACAAATTTAAATATTTTCCTTATTTTTTAACCATACATTTCATATTGATTTGACATGAATAATGCATTTTTTCCTAAAATGTAGCTCAAACATGGGCTCAATTACTAAAACAATATTAAACAAAAATTCAGTGACTTAACATTCAACTGACTATTTTATTCTTAAAATTTATATGAGAAGGCTCTTGTGTGGCAAAAAGAAAAAGAATTGAAATGTGTGAGTCCAACTTTACATTAACGGCAAACATAGGTTAAACGTATTTTGATTTACAAAGTAATAATATTTATTACTTTGGTAATCAGATAACATAATTATATTTTAATTAAATATTTTTAAAAAAAAATTGGCAAAATAAGGATTTAATATGAAAGTAATTATGACCATTTTAGCTAACAAAACCTACCAACCTTTCTTATTCTGCCCCCATGCCATTATAGCTATAAAACCAATCTTGCTCATTCTATTCTATGCTCAAAATTTATAAGTAAAAATCAGCACAAAAGGGTAAGTAATGATTTGACATCATTTCAATCACACATTTTTTAATAAAATAATATTACACACAAATCTAAACATTTTTCTTATTTTTTTAACCATACATTTCACATTGATTTGACATGAATAATGCATTTTTTTCCTAAAATGTGGCTCAAACGTGGACTCAATTACTAAAACAATATTAAACGAAAATTCAGTGACTTAACATTCAACTGACTATTTTATTCTTAAAATTTATATGGGAAGGCTCTTGTGTGGCAAAAAAAAAAAGAATTAAAATGTGTGAGTCCAACTTTACATTAACGGCAAACATAGGTTAAACGTATTTTGATTTACAAAGTAATAATATTTATTGCTTTGGTAATCAGATAACATAATTATATTTTAATTAAATATTTTTTTAAAAAAAATTGGCCAAATAAGGATTTAATATGAAAGTAATTATGACCATTTTAGCTAACAAAACCTACCAACCTTTCTCATTCTACCCCCATGCCATTATAGCTATAAAACCAACCTTGCTCATTCTATTCTACGCTCAAAATTTATAAGTAAAAATCAGCACAAAAGGGTAAGTACTATTGTTAATAAAAGCAATTTTTCTTATACTAGAGCTTCTCAAAATCTATTTCTAAGTTGATGACCATTGTGAAGTTTTTTCTTTTTCGGTTATCATTTATCGTGATTTGCATTTTAAATTGATTTCTAATATCATTCATTTAATTGTACCAGTAACTCTTTAATTTTGAATGATGGCAACATCACAAATGAATACATCATCGTCGAAATCGCTAACAGAAATGAGGTTTGATTCATAATAGATCAACAAAATAAGTCAGATCATCAATTTAATTTTAGAAATATTAACTTTTTTCCGTTTTGTTAATTGTTAATATATATTTTTGTTGTCATATCTTAATTTTGTTTTCATATTAGTTTTGTGTACAAAGAAGTATTATTGTAATTATATTATTACATTTTAGTTTATTCAATATTTTCACATTATATACATAATTTCATAAAAACTTATACACACAAACACAAACAATCGTAATTTTCCATTTAACAGTATCAATTACCTCTATTAGTAATTCAAAAATAGTACATATATTGTTCATTGATACATAAGACGTACAACGCACGTGCTTATTACTAGTATACAAAAATGTATTCTTCCCTATTTCTGTGAGATTTGGCCCCATGTTTGTTTCCAATTTTTTGCCCAATTTAAATTTATTTTCAGGTCGTTGCAATATTATCAGCCATGATTTTTGACTTTTTATTTCATAGTGGGTCTCATATGCTGACAAAAAAAGGTCAAAAAATACATTATTGTGGGCAAAGATTTAGATACAAATAGGGCTTATAACATTTTATATTATTTCAAAAGGTAATTGGCATAAAACGTCCCTACTTTTCAAATTTATTGTGAAAAACATCACAATCTTTCATTTTTTGGCATTTTTGCCATTATCTTTTACATTTCTTTACGCAGAAAGTCATTTTTATTAGGTTTTGACAATTTTACCCTCTATTCAAATAAAACAAGAAGAAAAAAAATAAAGAACTAATTGCAATAATAGTTCTAAATTTTCAAAAAAATGACAAATCGGTCACAATTTATCGTGAACTGAAAAATTTTAAAATTATCTAAAAAAAAAAAGAAGGGAAATTTGAATATACAGAGAAATAATCAAAAAATATAAATTTTTTTGAACCATAGCCAATGAAACTGAAAATCTTCAAAAATTGGTAAGTATAAATCTCAATTTTTATTCAGTGAAGAGTAGATGTAAGGCTTGAGGCAAAAATCACGTAATCTTCAAAATTTTTCATTTCCATTGGTTATGATTAAAATTTTTTTTCAATTTCTTGATTATTTCCCTGTACATTCAAGTTTCTTTTTTCTATTTATTTTAAAATTTTTTAGTTCACAATAAATTATGACTGATTTATAATTTTTTTAAAAAATTGGGACTATAATTGCAATTAATTAATTAATTATTTCTTTTCTTTTCTTTTTGTTTCATTTGAATGGAGGGTAAAATCGTCAAAAGGACATTTTATGCAAAGAAATGTGGAATGTATGGATAAAAATGTTAAAAAATAAAAGATAATGATATTTTCAACAATAAACTTGAAAGGTACGAAGATTTTGTTCCAATTACCCTTATTTCAAATTCACTGTAAGGTTCAAGCGGCTAGCTAATTTTTTTAGTTCTATTTACATGAATTTCCCTCGAATAAATATTGGCTACACGTTCCAAGCAAGGAAATTTTCAACAGAAATCCTCTGTCACTCACTAGCTCCAGAAATGGGAATTCTAGCTTTATTTTCTTCTCCGAAACCAATCTTTCTGCATAAATCCAGACAAACCCACCTGTCATCCCCCAAATTCCACGCATTTGCACCCAAGGAAACAATTGCAAGACCCAATTTTTTTTCCACTTTTCAGAACTCAAGAACCATAGCCGTTTTATTTGGAGCTGCTGGGATTGCCTTAACCACTCTCGTGGAACCCGCAGCTGCTGCAGAGGCACCGTTGTTTAATGAGCCTGCGAATGCTCTCTCTTTACCCACATGGGCTATTCATGTTTCTAGTGTCGTTGAATGGTATGATACTATATATAATACATATGTGAATATTGTGTATAACTTTGTGGTAAATGGTGATGATATGTTTGGCCATCTTTTCCATTACGTTCTGGAATTGTGCTATTCGCGAAAGAGTTTCTCACTGCAGTACCTAGATCCCAATTTCATGCTGAATTAGACGAATTGAGTTTATAGTTATAAAAGATATTATTTGGTAAAGGGTACTGAGGTGGATATTATTTTTTATTCAAAAGTATGTCATTCGATATATCGTTACTCATCTCCATTTTCCATATTATTATATACGGTTGATAGTGCAAATAGCTATCTTTTGAATGAAAAATGAAAGAATAGTATCTGCCTTTATGCACTATAATACTATTTGCCTAGTACTATGATACTATCCATTATAATTTTATATTAAATTCCTAATACAGTCTGATTTGGTTCGCCGAGTAGCTTCAATGTCTATTAATTGTCTTGCTATGTGTTAAAAATGGGGTCTGATTAGTTTTTCTTTTTATCTAAGGATTACTGCAATGGCCTTGGTTTGGCAATATGGGGAGAAATCTGGGTTTGAATCTTGGAAGGGTCTCTCTTGGGGCATGGTGAGTAATGCTTCTTTTTCTTCGAAAATTTTTCAGGGTCGTCAAGTTACAGTGGTTTTGAATGTATTGTGCGCCTGTAAACATAAAACAGAAAATTGCAGTTCTTGACCTTTAGACCTTCAATTCTTCTATAAGCATTGCTTTAATACTTCTACTAGTTTGGTTCAGGATGAATAATAATAAAAAGGCTTAATGGAAAAGATTAATATTTTGGTGACAAGAAAGTCCAAAAATAGAGAACATTGCCTAGTTTATTTCAAATACTCTCCGCCCGGACTTCCCCAATGAAGACATTGTTTTTGGTTTGCGTGTTGCGAATATAGGTCCATAAATTCATAACAAGACCTCTATATTGCCACACCAGAGTTTAGAACTTTTTTTTTTTTTTTTTTTTTTTTGTAAGAATCCCTGGTAATTGCCATAGTAACTTGACATATGTTGGTTCTTTCAGCCTTCTTGAGCAATCTTCTGGACCTCAAAGTTGTATATTTTGTTGTTGATGTGTTTGGATTTTTTTTTTTTTTGGGGGAAACTATGTCCTGTTGAATGTAATTAACTTCCATAAAAGAAATCTAGATATTATTGCATCAAATGCTTGCACATTTACATGTAATTCTGCATTGTAGGTGAATACATAAAGACCTTTCTACTATGTATTAGAATTTAACAAGTGACCTATTTGTTTAGGTACCCTTGCTAGGTGGAGCATTTTGTGCTTGTACATGGCATTTCTTTTACAATTCAGAGGCCCTTGAGGTAAGAAGATGCAATGTTTACTAATTATAAAATTAAGTTTGAGCATTGTCTGCTTGCTATTGTGTATTCTTTTCTAGATTTTGGAATGGGTCATTCAATTATATAGTTCTCTGTTTTTGGATTCAAGAAGAAGGAAAGAAAATATATGACATAATCAAAAGTCAGAATGTGAAAGGTCCGCAACAGGTGGCGTGATATTTGGCAAAATTAATTACAATTTTTTTTTACTATATTCAACAAATAGGGAATATTAGTCCAACAAGAAAATGCTGCAGCTCTTCCCTCACTCTGCATTATACTTATAGATGTTGGATATCATAAAACCAACCCTTCAACATTTGTAGCATGAAATCTGTCTGAACCTATTAAAAAAAGTGGGTCAGTCAGCTCAGCAACAAAAAAAAGGGTGATGCAGTGGCTGATTTAACTATGACTGTCAATTTAATATATTTGAGGTAAAAATTGCGCAATGTTTAAGTAAATATGTTGCCTTCTACTTACCTTGAGTGAAAGAGATTTTTGGACAGTGCTGGCCTTGGTAGAGACTTGTCTTGTCAGTCGGCTCATTCCATGAAATTATGGTGGGCATTATAATGGGTCCCCATTGGTGGGCTACATTGTCTTTGCTTTTCAGACACGCTTCTGACAGATTCTTGGATTTCTGGTGGGCGTCGCCTCTTTACGCATAGGATAATATTTCTCGTGTTGCACACCAAGCTGATATGGATCTCTAGGCTGAGACCGAGTCCTCATACTTGGTGATATTTACCTTCTTGTGTTGCTTAAAGTCATTAAAAATTATGATTATTTGGTTCGTCACTGAATGATCTCATTAATAATTGTATGGTGGTCTGAGCTTATTACATGAACCTGAGCTTGTTAGTTGCTAAGTATTTCACACAGATCTCCAGAATTGACTACTAGAAGATTTTTGCAATGACAAAGATGAATGTAATATAAGTCATAGTTTCCCTAGCAGCATCCTTTGACTGGTCTTTGAACCAAAGAGATGTAAAGAATACTTTTCTAAAGGGAGAGCTTGAAGAGGTGTACATGAACTTGCGTTTGGAATTTGTAGAAGTATATGATGAGGAGGCCTGCCAATTGGGGAAGTCATTATATGGTCCAAAGCAGTTATTGGTATGATTGGTTTACCGAGGATAAAGAAGCTGGAAAATACTCGAATCAACTCGGACCACAAATTGTTCTTCAAGCACTGAAGAGATGCAAGTATCATTATTCTCATTGTCTATGTAAACAATATTAGTAAATGATATTAACATTGCGAACTTGGGTTTTTTAAAGAAATTCTTGATTAAGGAGTTTGAGATTAAGGACATTGGCTAACTAAGGTATTCTTAGGCATGGAAGTGGCACGAAAGAGAATGAGTATGTTTGTGAAAAGAAGTGGACTTGGACCCTTAGGCTGTAGACGTTTCGATGGTCCCTTTGATTCTAATCACAATCTAGGAGACATGTCAAGATAACTACTGTGCGTCCTCAAAGAGTACTTGAAAATTAATCTACTACCAGATTTAGCCCTTTGACATAAATGTGCTGTGCAAGCTTATGCACTGCTTGTGTAATGAACATCTTGAGGTTGCACATAGAGTTTTGAGGTATTTAAAGAAAATCTGTTGGAAATTAAATCCTAATATTTCTGGATAGTTGAATGGCGATTACGAAGATGCTAATTATGATGACACAAGTGGAAGAATGATAAAAGCGAGAAAAATACTAGAAATTGGAATGCAAAATTAAGTGGTTTGACGATTATGCCCATGTCTACTAATGGAGAAGGCTATATTTTCACTATCTGGAAGAATGGAGATTACAATATGACTCAACCCTCACAAGAGCTCACTTGAACTACAAAAATATTGTTCACTGAAGCTTCACTTTTTACTTCTTTTATTTGGCCCATATCTCTCTCTTTTTTGGCTTTTAGGCTTGGTGCTAATCAAATGGAGCAAGCCCATGTCCTTATAGCACCAAACTCTTGGGGCACAAATCGTATGGCCAACTTGTGCCCAAGTCTACCAAGAAGTTCAGGCATTCCTTGGACTTATGAGGTACTTGCAATAAGTGACATCCTTGTTGAAGGGGGTAGTGCCTAAGTGCTTTCCCTAAGACTTGGGCCCCTAGAATTTGGTTCTGCAAATACATGGATGCTCCATTTGATCAACCGAGCCAAATACAGGGAGAGTGATACGCGCCTAAATGAGTGGAAGTGATGCTTGAGTGAAAAATTAATTTTGTAGCAATTAATCTAATTCTTAATCTATTTCTTTGAAATACTCTCAATAAATATATGGGTGATCGCATTTTATAATACCTCGGGAGCTAACAAGTTTTCTTTGTGATGTTGAGCATATTATTCTAGATAGACAAATTACAATCTTTCCCCTTAGTGGATATTGGCCAAATTTTTGAACCACGTAGATTTGGTTCAATTTCTAGTTTTGGTCCAATTTCTATTGTTTTCTCACTTTCATGATTCTTCAACTCGTGTCATCAAAATTAGCATTGATATAATCATCACGCATTTCCTCACAATTATTAGGATTTAATTTTGTAAAAAATGGCATCATAGCTTTTGGTTATTAAAGCTCATTCGTATAGTGAAAATGACGAGTTCAAGGTGGAGCCATTTGACTGCAAAACAAATTTCAATATTTGACTATGTACTATCAAGGATGTATTGGTGAAACAAGTGCTATTATAATTTCGGCTTTGTGGGGACGACTTCTCTAGCTGGGTGTAAGGAGCCATGTGTGGGTTTTAAGTGGGGCGACCCGTTCGACAGCTCGTGCTTGAGTTGAGTTGCTGGTGCGAGTCAAGCAGCAAAAAATCTCGTGTGAGCCGCTCATCGGCTCGTGATCCGGCTCATAATTGCTGAGTGAAATGCAATTTTCACTAATGGAACGGGATGGACCCAACGGTGGGCAAGATAAGCGGCTCGACTTGACCCATTTAACACCCCTTACAGACTGATAAAAAATTCTCAGATTCATGGATTCCACATTCTGATTCCTTTTAAGTAGTATTAGAATGCATCAACCTAAGTCTCAAGTGTTTGTGCTTTTTCTCGGTGATAGGAGTTTAAGATTCTGACAAGGTCAAGAGGATGTTTGCACCATCGAAATGTGTTGTGATACTATCTATTTCTCTCGGCAGATGGCTGCTGACCTGGGATGGATTGCAATATGAAATATCCAGCAATTTGGGACTCCATGGTTGGTGGGAGCACGTATGGACAGCCCCTGTGCCCCCAAGGTTCGTATATTTCTTTGGTGTGTTTTGACAAAGCTCTTCCGAATCCCTTGAACCTTGCTAGGCATGGGGTGAGAGTGGGTGGTGGGTGTTGTCGGTGTGGCATGCTGGAATAGGGACAACATTCTTTGTTTTGGTGCAAAATGTGCAAAAGGGGTCTGGAAGGCTTTGGACTGGTGAATTAGAGGTGGCGATGTGTGTGTGATATTCACTTTGGGGTGGCCAAATGTTGTAGTAAGAGGGATTGATGTATCATTTGAGTGCTTTGGGGTGAATAAACCAGGTGAATGTTGTAGTAAGAGGGATTGATGTATCATTTGAGTGCTTTGGGGTGAATAAACCAGGTGGTACACAGGGAGGCGCCATGTACGACCTCAGTTTTGTTGGAATCTGTGCTTTGGCTTTGTTGGAATCTGTGCTTTGGCTGCTAGAATGAGTGTCGGATCATATAAATAAACAGCCGACAGGGATAGACCTGGAAGCCCAGCACCTATTTGGCAGCCACCTTCAGGTGGGTGGCCTTAAACTGAATTCAGATGTGGCAATCCGGAGGGAGGGAACGTTCCTCAATTTAGGCACAATCTTTCATGATGGTCAGGGTATTGTTATGGCAACTCAATCAAAGAAGACTCCAGGCCTGTTTGAGGTTGATGATGTGGAAGCAGTTGTACTTCGAGACGGACTCCACTTTGCAAAGGAAAATTGTTTCAAGCTGGATATAGTTGAATGCGATTCGCATAGGATCATTCAAAGTCTCCTGTTTCATTTTAGGCCACCGTTTGGGCTCCATTAAAATGAGATTTTTTTATTTATTTATTTTTTTTGGGGGTGGGGG